TTTTTTCCCACTCATGGTTAGTGGTTGGGTGAAGCCATTTATTGTCAAACAACTGTGTTTACTCTTTTTAAATCATGACAACAGAAACTACCCACATGACCCTGATCAAACGTTTACATACCCTGGTGATTTTGGCCTGATAACATGCACACAAGTTGACACAAACGGGTTTGAATGGCTACTAAAGGTAACCATCCTCACCTGTGATCTGTTTGCTTGTAATCAGTGTGTGTGTATAAAAGGTCAGTGAGGTTCTGGGCTCCTGACAGACCCTTGCATCTATCATCCAGTGCTGCACTGATGTTTGTGGAGTCATGGGGAAAGCAAAAGAATTATCAAAGGATCTGCGGAAAAAGATAATTGAACTGTATAAAACAGGAAAGGGATTTAAAAAAAAAAAAAAAGATATCCAAGGATTTAAGAATGCCAATCAGCAGTGATCAAACTCTAATTAAGAAGTGGAAAATGAAGGATTCTGTTGAAACCAAACCATGGTCAGGTAGACCAACAAAAATTTTAGTCACAACTGCCAGGAAAATTGTTCGAGATGCAAAAAAAACAAACAAAAAAAACACAAATAATTTCAGCTGAAATTCGGGACTCTGAAAAAAGTGGTGTGGTTGTTCAAGATGCACAATAAGGAGGCACTTGAAGAAAAATGGTTGAGTCGCCAGAAGAAAGCCATTGCAACGCAAATTGGAGAGGAGTCAACAAGGCCTATGATGAATGGTACACCATTCCTACTGTGAAACACGGAGGTGGATCGCTGCTTTTTTGGGGATGTGTGAGCTACAAAGGTACAGGAGACCTGGTCATAACTGATGGAAAGATGAATACAGCGTGTTATCAGAAAATACTGGAGGAAAACTTGCACTCATCAGCCTAGAAGCTGCGCATGGGACATACTTGGACGTTCCAACATGACAACGATCCAAAACACAAGGCCAAGTCGACCTGTCATTGGCTACAGCAGAATGAAGTGATGGTTCTGGAGTGGCCATCTCAGTCTCCTGACCTCAATGTCATTCAGCCACTCTGGGGAGGTCTCAAATGTACAGTTCATGCAAGACAGCCCAGGAATTTACAGGAACTAGAGGCTTTTTGCCAAGAAGAGAGGGCAGTTTTACCATCTGAGAAAATAAAGAGCCTTATCCACAACCACAAAAATTTCAAGCTGTCATTGATGTAAACTTATGAACACAACTGTAACTGTATGTAAGAAAGGACAGTAGAGGATAGGAGCCCAGTGCATCATGGCAATCCCCCGACAGCCTAAACCTACAGCAGCATAACTAGGGGACAGTTCAGTCAGTCCTGAGCAGTCCTCACTATAAGCTTTATCAAAGAGAAAAGTTTTAAGTGTAATCTTAAAAGTAGAGAGGGGGTCTTCCTCCAGAACTCAAACTGGGAGTTGATTTCACAACAGAGAAGTCTGATAACTGAAGGCTCTGCCTCCCATTCTACTTTTGAAAACACTGGGAACCACAAGTAAACCTGCAGTCTGAGAGCGAAGGGCTCTGTTGGGATGATACGATACTATAAGGTCTTTAAGATAAGATGGAGCTGGTCATTAAGAGTTTTATATGTTAGAAGCAGGATTTTAAATTCTATCCTGGATTTTACAGGGAGTCAATGAAGAGAAGCTAAACAGAGTAACTCCATATAGCCACTAATATACTGGTGATAAGGTTCTGACAAGACAAGAAATGATCAGTACAGAATAACTCTGAAGTATATAATAAAACCCACTAAAGACTGACTTATATACTGCATGCGCCATATATTTGCCTCCCTACCAAGACGTTGGAACATAAAACTTGATTTTCCAGATCACAGATTTCTGTTTTTGTCTTTTTCATACATTTGAAAACATTTCTAAATGTTTTCACTTTGTCATTACTGGCTATTGAGTGTAGAAAATACCAATATTATTGATTTAAAATTAAATCCACAACACAATAATGTGCACAAAAAGTGAAGGGATCTGAAAACACTTTGAAGCAACTGTACATCTAAAGGTCAGACTGTGGTCTTAACTGTATTTTTAATGCACTTTGTCTCTCACCTCCTGCCCCCACCTCGACTTCTGAGCAGGAAGTTGTACCACCCCAATAACGCCCAGCTGGGGATGGCCATCATGCGGGCAGGTGTCACCCACTGGCATGCAGGGCAGATTGAGGCGGGCCACGGGTTGATCTGCAAGGCCTATGGCATCCTCCTGGTAACCCATGGACCCAACCACGCCATTACCAAAGACTTGGAGGTAGAGTATAAGTTAATGTTTGGGGTAATAACTACATACTGAAAACATGTAACTGCATGATAGCAGAACCACGTTCTTCATTTTGTAAAGGCAGTTCTAACTACATACTGTCACTCTGTTCTTCTTCCAGACCATGCGCACGCAGACTGAGATGGAGCTAAAGATGTTCAAGCAGGATGAGTCTGTGTATATGACCATGAGAGACGCCGCTCTGAAGAAGCAATAACCTCCTTCATGGCTAATATTCCTGTCCCTGCTGATGTTCTGATGCCCGTCTTAACTGTGCAATGACATGTACACACAATGTCCACTAAAGCACTGCACCCAGTCCCTGCGCTGAGTCTCTGAATCACTGGTGTGTCTGACGATACGCTGTACTGTTTAAAGCAGCAGATGTAACACAACATGAACAGTATCTACAATAAAAGTGGAGATACATGTGTTGTGATTGCTTACGTCAATAATTTGGATTCTTTATATTCATTATTTAGTTAGATTTACCATATAGGTGCATTGTCTGCAAATTGTACATCCCAACAAGAACACTTATTTAGACAGATGGAAAACCAGTCTGTTATCACTCTCAGACCACAGAAACTTGATTCAAATGACCACACTGGCTCATTTCTACTCGTATTACCTCTGCCACATTTCAGAAATGGGCTTGTGTAACAATGACAGTGTGAGACTAATTTCTGAGAGCCAAGAGTAAAAAAGAAATGACCAGAGCTCGAGCACACGAGCTTACCCACGACTCTGTTTAACACTGTTGTCATTCAGCCACACATGTTAAAACTGGAAAGTGAATCTGAAGAAGAATAATGATATAGAAAGTCCTACCCAGCAAGTTGACAGGACTAGATCCTTAAATTTGTTACGTATGAAACCCTGGAAGTCTAAATCTGTTTTTGAGACTGTCATTGGTAAACTGCAGTTTCAAGGTGGAAATGCTCAGTCATGGTATTGAATGCTTGTTTTGCTAAACATGTGGACACACGCAATGCAAGAAACAAGTCTCATCAACAAATGACACATCTTTTAGTTGACATTCCTCTGAGGAATATAATTGTTTTTCTGGCAGTGTTAATGGAAACTGTTTGATAACATGTTGTCAGATCAGCTTTCAAAGCCATAACTGAGTAATTTTGCAACAGCATGGTGGCTTTGATACAGTCTGCATTCTCCAAAGATAGAAAAGGATGCATCATGCCTGATAAAGCATGTTGGATTAATTTCCTGACACTGAGCCCTCTTTGTCTCAGTGAGAGTGTGGCTTTGACAGACCTTCAGTGAGCCTGCAGGACTGCAGGACATGCTGATGTTCAATGACATCAGTTTATTCATCATAATTAGTACCACTCATCCTTTGACAAGCTGTTGTCTAACATCCTCTGTAGCGCTGAAGGAATTTTATTCAGGTCTGAGTAAATAATCATGGAGAAAATTCATTTCTATGGTACAAACTGGGATAAAGAGCTTGAAAACACACAAAGGGGAGGTCAAATGAAAAGTCACTATTTAACTGCCAATAACTGCATACAGTCATGTAATAAAACAGTGCTTCCCATTCACAGAAAGAAATGTGAATGGGAAGAGAATTATCAGAAACCTATCAAGATGTTACCTCTACAGGCTTTTCTGGATCCTCCTCTGTAAAGGCAGCAGACACAGTTTCCTCATCCTCTTCATCCTAGATGAGTGATATGTTTCAGTATACTTAAACTATTATTTGGCAAAATATTTGGAGTATTGCCTACTTACTGTTACAAAGTCTATTGTGGCATAAGGGGGCTTTACCAGGCAGATAGCACCATCAGAATCTGTTGGGACGAAAGAAAAAAAAAGACATGAAAGAGAAATAAATACTCCAAAACACATATTACTGGGTGACGCAGTAGTCCAATAATGGTCAACATCTGTGTGCTTTTTCTAACAAGTTAGTACCCCACAACAAATCCAAAGATTTCCTGTGAGCAAGCATGTTGGTAAAAGTGAAGAAGAAGAACTCCTTTTTAACAGGAAGAGACCTCCAGCAGAACCCGTGTCAGGAAGGGCGGACATCTTGGGATGATCGTGAACGGGAGGTAGAAGGACAGCAATGACAAACAGAACCAACATTGGACAGATCGGTGGGACCAGTAGCTACATATCAGACCAGAGCTCGAAATACCTGCAGAGAGAAAAAGGGACCAGGAGGACGGGGAGGACAAATCACAAACTATGGGAGAGAGAAGACACAAAGTGAATGACATGCAATAGTACTTAGAAATGAATGGAGGAAGTGAGGAAGGAGGAAGTAGCTGGCAGCAATTGGCAAGAAGCTGCTGTAGCTCTGTACATTCTACAGTATTCCTACTGTAAATGTATTCACAGTAATTGATACTACAGTAATAACTACTGTACTGTTACTGTCATCACTGGAATAAGTTGCTGTATTTTTTTATCACATCAAACATTAGACTACAATAACAGGCATAACTAATAGTTTTAATTACTGTAAATTAACAAAATGATTACATACTGTAAAATGCAGACATTGCTGTTTTCACAAAAAATGTCATTACTTCATTCAACTATCAACATTTTTTTCATTTGAAATGCATAGGGGCTAAACAAATCTTACTTTGCATTTTTCATATTTTAACATTTCGTTCCTGAATCCTTCTTTGTTCAAGTTACCCTTGAAATGTAAACTGCATTTATTGGAATGATATCGTTGTTCTTTTATGTATACTTAGAGACTTTCAAAATGACTGATTTACTGTTTGAGTAGTTTTAGTTGACTGTACTTCAAGAGGCCAACATAAAAGAGTAACAAAAACAAAGATAAAAGGAAGGAAACAACTCCTCTATATTTTTACAGTCACAAGAAACCGACTAATGTCATGATCCCCCAGCCTCAGCCTGCTCCTGTGCATCTCGGCACTAATCAGGACAATCACCCTCAGCTGCAACTCTGGACTCACCTGCACACAATCACCACTGCTCCTGTAAAGACTCGGTTCATTCCACCACAAGCCGCCGGGTCATAAACATCCCATCTGTATGTTTCTGCCTGTCTCTGCTCCGTTTCAGCCTGGATTCCCCGAGCCTGTCTGCCCCCTCTGTTTTTCCCCTGCTGTGAATATCCCCGTTCGTTTGAGCAGCTTAGTTTTGTATCTTTGAATTGTTTGGTTTATTTCTCCTCAGTCCTTTGTTTAGAGTTTTTAGGTTTCTCTAGTTTTGCCCCATTCGCAATTCAGCTTGGTTTTCCTGTTTGGTTTCTCCCCCTCAGTTTTGTTTCCGCACCTCAGCTTATATTCAGTTGTTTAATAAATCTTTGTCTACGCCTCACCTGCCTGCCTGTTTGATCTGTGTCTGCACCTGGATTTCC